ACAAGTAATCCAAAACATGGGCCAACTGTTTGATTAACCCAAGAACATTAAGTTATTAGGGTAAGGTCTCCCTTTTTGACAAGAACTGCTGGGAAAACTGGAAAGCTGTCAAAAATTGGTTTTAGGTCAACATTTTAAACTATGTATCACAATAAACACCAAAAATGAAAGTCACACCACAAAAAAGTTACAAGAAAATTAAATCAATGTATCTTTCAAAACTATGGCTAGGGAGAAAACTTTTTAACTAAAGGGACAGAGGAAATCATAAAAGATAAAACAGGGAATCTTTACTACTAAAATTAAAAGCCTTTACACAAATAAAATCAGTGAACATGTAACTAGAAGAGTAGAAAAATATTTGCATCAAATATTATGAAGAATTCTTAATACCCAAAACAGATAAAGAAATGACACAAATATTTAGCACCAAGAGCCATCCAAATAGATAAGTGGTCAAAAGACATGAAGTTTTCAAAAGAACTGCAAACTCGAAATGGTTAAATAAAAATATGCTCCAAATTACTATAAAAGAAACACAAAAAAATTAACTGACACCATACAAATTGACAAAGATGATAGAAGATGGTAATAGTCAATGTGGGCAGGACTATGAAAACAGAGGCATACCATTAGTGTTGGTGAAGCTGTTCTAGATATCAATTTAGATATAAGCAAGAAAAATGGCTTAAATGTCAAAATTCTTTGACTCATCAACCCCCTTTACTAGATGCATACCCCAAAGAAGCGAAAGACAAAGTTTCAATATTTAATAAAATATTAAAGCAGTACTCTTTGTGGAGGCAAAGACCTGGAAACAAAATGAATACTACTCACTAGGAAATGCACTGAAAACACTATGACATATGAATGTATACTATTGTTACGTAAATATAACAAATGAGAATTTTAAAAATGTGGTTTGTATGAATCATGGTTTATATGAAATAAGCAGAAGAAAACAAAATGTAAAATGACCACAATGAATGTGGTACAGTGTAAACAGCAGTAGATTTGGAGACAAAGGACCCAGGTTCAAATCCCACTTCTGATGTTAACTACCTGCATGAGCTCGTTCAACTATCTCCTCAATCCTTACTCTCTTGATATGTTACATGAAGTGGCTGGACTAGACAGCTTCTAAGGTCCCTCTCACTTTCTCAGGGAGGGTCAGATGTAAATGAAAAAAAAAATCACTAAAAAGAAGTACCAGTCACATTCACTGTAAAACAGTCACACTGTTTTGCAGAAGATATTCCTAAAGCATTAAACATATTCAGAATGTTCTTAGAGTTCTTAGCAAGCTTTAAACACCTACACAAAAGAAATAATTTGAAACAAAGTAAAATTGTAACTTTAGAACTATTAAAGGACTAAGCCCTGACAATTGCAGGGCAACATTTTAAAGCTAAGGCCATACATCCTGACAGCAGAGCTGAGGCCACTAACTGGGAAAACCAGGTTTATGCTGTCTATACCCAGCTTTCAGTTTGAGTGGGTAGAGTGTGACCAGCTTCTATTGTTACTCAAGTACAAAACACACTCAGGTTAAGTGAATCACAAATTTAAGAAGTATCCCATTTCTTTCACCATCATCAAATCCAGGACACATAAAAACAAAAAGAAATCTTAACAGGCCTTAATTTCTCTGCTTCTTACCAAGAAAGGAGCTGAGATGTCCTTAATACACTACACAGAAGATAGCTCCTATATAACTACATTCTCCCTCCTATATTTAAAATGAAAAATAGTAGGAAGCAGTAAGAAGCAATCCTTAGGGGCATTTCCTATGACCTCCTTGTTTCCTCTCCCCCATCCACCCAGAACAAATGACTTTCCTATTCTTCTCAGGCATAGTCTAATAAAAAGTCATTTCTTCTCTGAATCTTTTTTTTTTGCCTTTTTTTTTTAGGCAATTGGGGTTAAGTGACTTGCCCAGGGTCACACAGCTAGTTAAGTGTCAAGTGTTTGGTCTGAGGCCAGATTTGAACTCAGGTCCTCCTGACTTCAGGGCCGGTGCTCTATCCACTGCACCACCTAGCTGTCCCTACCCTGAATCTTTTAAGTAGTAGGTGAGGTGCTTTATGTGATACAGAAATAACCACTATTAATTAGCAGCAGTATAAAAATCAGCTTAACTCTGACAACAGGAATGGAAAAGACCAGTATCACTCTCTTTACAAGAAAACTTCAGTGAAGTAGAAGCAAATGCATGAGGCTGGGCAAAAATCTTTAGCCTGGTATTAAGGCTTCATGGTAATGGGAAGGAACCAGTAGTCACAGAAAGGGATTTAATTCAAGATCCTAAAAAAAAGATGTGCAATACTGCAGGGGAGGGAAGGGAAGCAGCTATTGTTAGAAATTCTAGTTATCCACGTAAAGGAGCAAAACTCCTCTGTTCCCCACCCCCATCTCCCAAAATAAGGGATTACCTGGGATAAAGATAACCAAAAGAAAGAAGTCTCATACAGCTATCTATACTTTTTCTGTGATCTCATAAGCTCCTAAGGGTTCATTCAAATAATCACCTCTATTCAGGTAGCCCTGGACCTACTTAGCCAACTCCAGTATCTCTCCTGAGCTCCACCTGCATCACCAACTACTGGTTATTTCCAAATTAATGTCTCACAGGCATCTCAGACTCAGTATGTCCAAAACACAACTTTACTCTCAAAACCTCTTTCCTACTTCTGTTGAGAACATCACATCCTTTCAGTCACCCAGGTTTAACCACCTCAGGGTTTTCCTCACCTCTTCCCCCTCCCTCACAAGTTACAGCCAATCAGAAGACAATTTTACATCCACTATCTCTCTCTCTCACAAAACTCACCCAAATGCCCATATTGCAATGATCTCCTTAATCGGAACTATGCATCAAGCCTCTCTCTTCTCTTTAGTTCATCCTTCAAACAATAACAAATGATATTTCTAAATCACAGGCTTCACCATGTGACTCTCCTGCCCAAGAATCTATGGTGCCACTTTTTTTACCTCCAGGTTAAAATGTGAACTTCTCTGCTTGGCTTTTAAAGCCCTTCACAATTGGGCTCCAGGCTTATTTCAAGAAATTTTCCTCTACCATCTATGTCCGGCCAAACTAGCCGGTTACAGGTTTTCCCACATGACATTCCATCTCCTGTCTTCATGCCTTTGCCTTCCATGTTCCCCATGCTTGGATCCTCCTCTCCTCTCACCACCACCTGGTGGAATCCCCAACTTTCTTCAAAGCTCAGTTCAGAGGTCACTTCATAGAGGAAGCCCATCCTAACGTCTCCCCCTTAGCTTGGGGTGCCAGATCTCCAGGGAAATTACTATGTGTTCAATTTTCTACATACATGCCCTAGCCCCTACCCCCAAAACATAAGCTCAATGACATTGCTTTTTCTTTTTGGAGTGCTTGCTAAATTGAGGTATTAATATCAGTATGAGAAATTGAGTGGTAAAGAGACCTGTACAGCTTCTCCATCCCAGCAAATTAAAAAAAAAAAGGCAAAACCCCCCCACAAAAACTTCATTTAATTAGCATTCTCAGGAAAAAAAATGGGTATCATGCTATAACATGAGAAAAACAGTAAATATGAACGAGAATGGGAAAGAAACAGTGGACATTACTTAGGAAAAGAAGTACCAAGGGAGTTAAAGTGCCTCTCCCTGCCCTAAAAAAAAAAGAGAGACCTTTAGATTCCTTTTTAAAATAGTTAAAGGTTTGACAGCATCCTCAGGTGGGAAAAAAATGACATGAATCTTGAATATAATCAAAATACCTATAACCAGGGTAGAAAACGGAAAATAATACACATGAACGATAGTGCTGGGAGTGAAGGGGAGAATATTATTAGGTCATGCTGTTACCAGGGCAAGAGAGTGACTAGAGTCAGGATAAGCAGGAGGGAGTAGTCACACACCCTAGAGAAAAACTGAATTCAGTAGATGTCAAGGAGGGATCAGAGCTGTGTAACTTGAGAAGATGGCTAGGCAACTAATTAGGTTGAGAGCCAGAATTAAACCAGGGGAAAAGTATGGAAAGTAGGGCTGAGCTGAACCCCAAGGAGTTTGTGAAAGGAGATGAGAGAACACTAGGATCCAACAAACTGATAAAGTTGGACTCCTTGAGTGAGTACACTTTAAGAGGGCTAATTAAGTTGCACTTCTATAAGAAGTTTTAAGGAACACTGTCTTCAACCTACATAGGTCAATGTATGTGAAACTAAATTCACCCGTCTACTCAGGCTGAGCACCGGAAAGACTGATCGAAAAGAGGTTTATCAGACTTAAAAACTCTAAACTTCAGAATACTTAAATACAGTTGAAAGCTCTAAACTTCAGAATATTGAGTTGAGACGAAAAGAGCCCGGGACCCAGGAACAAGACTGGGAAAACCAGGGTAGGGGTAAGCTGAAGTACTTAGGTGGGAAAGAAAAGAGTGCAGAAAGCCACACCCTCCAGAGTAGAGATCGGCAACTGTGTAGTAAAGAAGAAAACCAGTTCCCAGTGGTGGATGGAGTAGATAGATGTATGGGGAAGTCGGCAGTCCGGGAAACTGGAAACACAGATGTCTTAGGTGGAGTGCCCAGATAGGGAAAGCTAAAAGGCGACCTCAGAGATAAATGGGGGGAGGGGAGGGGTTAGGAAGGATGATGATGGATTGAGAAAAGGGTAGCTGGGAATCTGTAGGAGCCAAATGCCCACAGTAAGAGTGTGGTAGGAAAACACCGAGTATGTGCAATTATTGGGAGACCAAGGCAGCAGAGTCTCGAGGAAGGGGGAGGGGCGTTTAGCCCTTCCCCTCCCCCTGGCGGGTGGGCAAGGAGAAGGCAGGCCTCGGGGTGGGGTGGGAGGCCAGGTCGTGGACGAAGGTGGGCCTGGTTGGGGAAGGGGTGGGTAGGACAGGGCCCCGAGGAACCACAGGGGGTCCGCAGAACCTGGGGTTCGGCGAAGATGGTCGGCGAAGGGGGGGGAAGAGAGACGAAAGAGGAGGGTGAAACGACGGAAGGCATTACCGCTGCTGCTCCCGCCGCGCCCCGGACCAGCCGCCGCCGCTCGTTACCTGCCTATGTGCCTCTCACAAAGCAGCGGCGGCCGGGGCCCCGTCACGTGACCGTGCCGCGTCATCGGCAAGGGCGGAGCCTGGGGCGGAGCCCTCCTCCCGCCTTCTTTCCCCTCCCCCTTTCCTCCCGATCTGAACACGCGCTAGTCCGCGCCTCCCCCCTCCCACGCTCACCCGCTGTGCCCTCACCTCCCCACCCCCCCGCCCAGACACCGAACAACCAACTGAGAAGCACCCAACGAGGGTGGTGGTGAAGAAAACAGCTGGGAAGGTGTGTGGGGCCAGACTGGGAGGCATAAGGATTAGGACTGAGAGGAATAATGTTACAAACCGCAGTCAGGCTTCCCACAACTCCAACTCGATGTCGCGAGGCGATGACATCACAAGGCAGGCAGTCCCTCCCCTCCCCCTCATTCCTCCCCCCTCCGCCCCGGACCGCAGGCTTCTCGATCACATGACTAAGGGCCATGTCCCAAGCAGAAAGAACCGTCACCCAACGCGGCACTCTCAAGAGACTACCACTCCCGACATGCACAGCTACAAAACCGCGTACTACGACGCTCCTCCCCTCTCTCCACCCCCCCACCCCTCCCGAATAGGGAGCATGGTGGTTTGTAAAGAGTTGGACCGGGAGTCGGAAGAGACCTCGGTTAAAATGCCTCCTATGACACTTGTAAGTGACAGGACGAGTCACTCTGCTTCCCTGCTGAGTGTCAAGTTTTCCCCTCCACCCTCGGGAGGATAATACCCTACCTCAGAAATAGTGTATGGAAAACGCGCTTTGCAAACCTTAAGGCGCTATGTGAATGCGAAAGTCAGCAGCCTTGGCAGGTAGTGCTTAAGAGTTCGGAGCGTTCCCGAAGAGAAGTGGGAGGGTGAAGAGAAGGAAAGTCCCCGTTTCCGGGAGCCATCGCGCCCCGACCAATGAGAGAGCCGAGGCTCGGCGCCAGCGCTGGGCACGTTCGGTGGTGCGTCCGCCCAGCGCAGGGGATGCCGGGAGACGCAGTGACGTTCGAGGGGTTGGAGAGAGGGGCGCGCGCGCCGGAGCCCCCGGGGGGCTTTGCGCCCCTCGCCACGTTTCCAGCAGTTGCCTTAGGTCCAGGTTCCTCATCCACCTGCCCTATTTGTTTGCCCTCGACCCCGCGACCTTAAAAACATTTCTTTCCGCTTCGTTGGAGAAGTTGGCTAAGTCCGGCCTCTCACGACCCAAACGGGAGAGCTGTAGGAATGCGACGGATGATGCGCCCCATCCCCACACCATTTGTCCATCCTTCTATGTCCGTCCGTCCGTCCTCCCATTCATCTGACCTTTTAGGCCATCCAGACTCCCCTTCGCCGGACAGCGCCTCATCGCGTCTCCGCCACGGGCTTGGAGTCCGGAGTTCCCTCCTCTCCTCTGGTTTCACGTGCAAATTTGAACCAAATTTCTCCTTGCCCTGGGTCTTTGGAGAATTAAACCGAAGACCTGACTCTAGGTGAGAGTTTCGTTAATTTGGGCAAATTAAGAACATACATCCCATTCTTAAGTAAGGGAAGAAAGATAAGCACAGATAACCCAAAAATAAGGCGTTCTGTCATCAACCATCCATGATGTATTTCACTTTAACAAACAATAGATATTTAGAAGGAGGAGAGAAAGTGGCATGTTGCTATGACCTTGGAGGATTGGTAGAATTTTAATTTTTTTTTGAAGGGGCCATTGATGGAACTGGGACATTGAGAGGTTAAGTGATTTGCCCTACTTCACTCAGTCAGTATACTGCTTTATGTAAGGCAAACTCTATCCATTGTAATAAGATGCTTCCAGATTGTTCAGAGCAGAAGTTCTTAGCCTTTTTTGTCATGGACCTCTTGGCAGTCCCGTGAAGTTTATGGAATCAGTCTTGTTCTTAAGGGCTTAAAGTGTGTAAGATTCCAAAGAAACTAACAAGTATTGAAATAAGTTATCAAAATATTTATTGGGTGTCCCCAGAGTCTTAATATAGTTATGAATGGGATGTCCCAGTGAAGATTCCTCAGTGTAATTAAGGTTTGGGATAAGGCTTAGTGGGATAAGGGGTCCTGTGAAGACTTCTTAGAAGAATGAAAAGAAATTTGTTATTAGACTCAAGGCAGGCGTAGCAGCCTGACAGGCCTAAGTTTCGATTTACTGGAAATCACCTGATTTATAGGAATCTAGCTAGCCCCAGGTACACCCCCCATGACATTGTTAAACCTTTGAAACACTCCCCACCTCCCATATTTTGTTGATGCACCTGTTGCTATATTTCCATCATGGTGACCTGGCTGTACAGTATAGTGTCTAGCCTGACTGCACATCTTTAATTGCTTCTTTGGTATTACTTCAGCAAACTAAGGGGCTAAATACAGATCTCTTTGTTTTGGTTTCTGTTTCCATACATTGTGAGCCAAACATTGGCCAGTTGGTGGGAGGGGGGATTTGCCCATTAGAGCTATTTAATTTGGTTCTTAGCTCCTGTGCTCTCTGTCTCCCTTCATCAGAGCATACTGGTGGAGGGACACCCGAAACTTGAGATTTGAAATAATAAATTAACTTTCTGTTTCTCCTTGAAAAATCTCTAAGCGTGTTTTTTAATTTGAGTGGCATCCCACACAGGACTGCACTCAGACGTTGGAGACACCTTGTATTTTTAAAACAATGCACCCCATCTTAAGAGCCCCGGTGTTAGAGCCTAGAATTTCAATAAATTTCAGACATTGAGAAGGTATTCTAGACACTGGGCTGAACAGCCTTGTAGTACTGGAGCCTGAACTATCTCCTCAGGTTCTTTTCAATGCAGTGAGCTCTAGCACCATCCAGTACATACTACTCAACAGTCCAGGCAGAGGAAGAAATCACTAAAGCATTTAATAGAAGCATACTTTAAAAAAATTAACCACTGCATTAGAATCAATCTCAATTGTTTTGTAGTCCAGACCCGCGATTTTATCTGATGGGGAAATGTAATCCACTGATGCAAATCTTTTTTAAAATTTTATTCATTTTGAACTTAAATATAAAAAGACCAAATAAAAAATTTCTGTTTACACAGCACAACACAAAGAAGGGATTCAGTATGAAGCCATGAATCTTCATTTCACACTGCTTACTTTTTTTTAAAAAAACTATGTAATAAACACTGCATGTTGTTTTCAAAACAAGCTGCTTTTCCCTGTTTCTTTCTAAGTTTTCTTTTGTTTTCTGCTGTGCACTTTTTTTCTCCTCCCATCCACCTCACCCTAGAGAACGTGGACAGAGATATATGTGTATATGTGTGTGTGTGTGTGTGTGTATATATATGTAGGTATATATGTGTGTATGCATATATGTATTTATATAAAACCATACTATACATAACTTCTATTTCTCAGTTCTTTCTCTTGAGGTAGATAGGTAGATTTTCCTTCATAGGTCCTTTGTAGCTGATTTGAGTATAATACTTAAACTAACACTGATGCAAACTTAAAGAAATCTTAAGATATATTAGTCAGGTCGACTATTCCTGACCCCTTTGGGGTTTCTTGGCAAAGATAGTGGAATGGTTTGCCATTTCCTTCTCCAGCTCATTTTACAGATGAGGAAACTGAGGCAGACAGGGTTAAGTGACTTGCCCAGGGTCACACACAGCTAGTAAGGATCTGAGGCCAAATTTGAACAACAACAATTTATGGTCTTAGCTGCTATGCTTTTGGGGCTGACTTGAACCCAGGTTTGCTTGATCCCCAAAACCAGCTATATCCTCTACTTAATCCCTCATAAACTAAAGGAAAATTATTCTGTGCCTTTTCATACATGTCGGGGCTGATGTTTCACATTTAGGATACACTGCAGAGAAGAATGCCTTGGTTTTGATTAATTAGAGTATCTCTAAGCAGTTACACCTGTTGAAGAAAATATGTAAAATACTCTGTGTTTTAGGTATAAATCTGCCAGAAATAATTTTCTTTAATGTAACATTCTAGAGCCTAGTGTTTCTAGCCTAGAGAGAGCTGTCCAAACTGGCATAGTTAACCTTCATATTTCCCAGGGTGTTTTGTACTTTGGTAGAAATCCTGCAAACACATATCCCTGAAAGCTAATCCCTTCATTATTTGGTCAGTTGTTTGTTTGTTTTTTCTGCCTCACAGTGGTATCTCAAGTTTACTAGGCAGCTGCTGTAAAATGCTTCTTTATTCATTTCCATAGCATTTCCAGTTGATTCCTGTGGATTGAGGCAAGTGTCTTTTTCTCCTCCCTTCTCAAAGTCACTGAGCCACCCACTATCACTTATGTGGACAGAAAGATTTCTCTCATTCCTTGTTTTTTTTTTTTCACCTGTTACTTTACAAAACGTGCAAATGTTCTTGACTTGATAAGAAGTGCAGAAACACTGATAGGGAAAGGTGCTAGCATTCCTGTCATTCCCATCAAAGATATCATGCCCCTGTCATGAGTAAAAACCCAGAAATAAAAAAATGCAAGGGGTGTTGGTGGTGGGGAGAGATCAAGTAGAACGTTATGACTGGAGTGTAGGAGGGGAAATGGACCTGAAATATAAAGGTCTGAATAACAAGTTAACATTCGAAGTAGGGACCCTTACCGAGATTTTTAAACAGGTGTCTGCTATAGGAATATACTCAATCATACATGGGTATTAGAAAGATTTATTTGGCATTGGTGCATAGTTCAGAGTAGAGGTGGAAAGACTCTTATATTGTACTGATCACAGGTAATAACAGTAATATTAATAATAAGGTAATAATAAGGACCAAAGCAATACAAATGGAAAGGGAGACTTCATTTATTTGACAAAATATTTATTAAGCATCCACAATGTGAAAAGCCTTGACCCAAGTGGTGATAAGATTGCAGAGTATAATTCTAGTTCCTGTGCACATGTTGATTAGAGTATGGTACAACTAAAGGAAAATTAGTTTTTTATTCAGAGTGCCCAAGATTTACTACCAAATTGGATTTGGACCTACTCCAAAGTACTATTTCCATGACCCTGAAGACATAAACTTTCTGGACCTAAATTTCCTTATCTGTAAAAGGAAGAAGTTGAAT